TACTGAATGTTCTTTAGAAATAGTTCTAGTTCATACAAAGTTGTTCATCAAAGTAAAATTTTAACTTAAAAAGCCACACATACCCATTCTGTAAGACTCAGGTATAATGAATCATCAGTATTAAACAGCAAACCTTTTCCTTTTGAGGAGGGGCGGGGGAGGTGGGGAAGAACAGTTTCTGAGAAGCCAAGTAACAAGCAAACCCAAGATTTCAGAAGCCCAGTTCACATAAGGTTTGCTGTATCATCAGGTACTTCCACATGGGATCTGGGGTCTTACTGAAGACAACAGTCCCTCACTTCATGAACAACGGCAGCAGAAGAGGACTCATAAAACAGCAAGGGCTGTTACCATCACAAATACAAAAGTGAGCTAAGGGGTTCTCAGTGTCCTTTTGGTTTTGAACAGCCACTGAGAGCAACATGACAGAAATGGTCAGTTAAATAATACCAGTAAGTGGAACCAAACAAGTAGAAACCAAGTCTAGCACCATTGCAGTCACATCCTAGGATTCAAATCTACAGGTGCAAAGCGGTTACTAAGGCTTTTTTAAAAAAACCCATAAACAGTAAATAGTACAATTTCCACAGCCTATTTTCTCCAGTAACCTAACCCACCAAGACTCAAAAAACATCTGCTCACTCTGTTTTTACTTAATCTCTGTGCTAAAATCTGTCCATAAGTGTTTAAACAGATAGAAATATGACCTTTAAAAGAAACAAAGAAAACAAACAAAAAACCCCAATACCACATAACTCAGACCTGCTTTGCTCTTGATTCATCTGTAACAGTAGTTTGCTTGAAGGATGCAATGAGATACAGGAGATTTCAGTTTAGCTAATTCTGCATTTTAAATTAAGAAAAAATTGTATCTGGCAGTGCTTTTCAAAATAACATAAAAGTTGAAAGGGGGGAAAATTGCTAGTAGCAGCAACAGTAGCTTCCTCCCCACACATGGCCTGTCAGCTCCACCTAAATCCTGAACAAAGGATTTCACCTGGAGACTAGAACAATTTGAAACATCTCTTAAGGCTTGACTTCTGAAACAGTCAACAGTGCTTTGGCAAAATATATGTTTAAATGAAAGCACTGAAGACGACTCACTGAATTAGTTCTATGCTCAAACTTAGTGCCTGACTGACCTAAGGGCACAGCAAATGACAACCATAATTTATGACCTTATCAACATAGAACTTAGGAAAGATCACAGCTTATTTAAAGGACATCATCAAATTACAACTTCCACCTCTAAAATACCTGTGTCGGAGCTAAAAGTGACCAAGACCAGGAGTTTATAACAAGAATGTTTGCCTGAAATTCTCATTATAAAGCATCCTCTTCACTTTATAATAGCTGTGTTATTTTGTGTCTGCCAATCAAAGAAAAGCTACCAACATGCTGGGAAAAAAAAGTTTCACTCTACAATTTCCATTAGTTGCTTAGGGAAGTGAGTAACATTTTTCTTTAAGACTAACACTTCTGAATTTAGAGTTGGCAAACATTTACAGCACTGAAAGACGAGATGATTTTAACAAATAGATTTTGTAGTCTCTGAAAACACAGAATAGTTAACCAGAATCTCCAAAGGCTGCAGAGTTTGCTCATCACTAGCTACATCAGAAAGCCAACTGTAAGTTAGTAAAAAAAAAAAAAATGTATTTCACTATACCTTTGCAACTTCAAAACAACATTCTGTATTCACTTAACTTTTGAGTGAGACCCAAACCCTAACTTTTCTAGTCACCACAGAGTATCCTTGACAGTGAAGGTCTTGAAACTTGGTTCCTGTCCATCCGCACTCTGCAATGAAACGCTCTATGACATGAATTCCTCGCCACTTACTCCTGGAGTTTGCATGCATTTACGTGACAGCGGCAAGGGAAGATTTTGGGAAAAGGCAGTGATGAAAAGAAGAGCACTGTTTTCATGAAAACACAAAAATCTATTAGTTAGCAAATTTGCTTCAGTGACATTTATTTGTAGCTATCCATTACTGAATTCACATAATGCTATCTCAATGAAAAAAAAAATTAAATTTGTTATTAAAACTTGTTTTAAAAGTCAAATACGTAGTAAATGAGAAGCAATTAAATTACTGTTTTTCAATAAATGAAGCAGCAAATTTTTGAATGTGGGTATAAATGAAGTATCACAGCATGCTTTCTACCCTCTTGCCCTCGGCCAAAATTTCCTTGTTTTCTCTTCCACAACACTTATTTTCCCCCCCCAGCACAATCTTCTGATTTCAAAATATACACCACAAAAACATTGCCAAGGTGCTGACTGAACTAACTGAACACAGGTACGAAGTTTATCTCCTACAACACTTTCCTTTAAAAAAAACACACACATGACAAAGTGATACAAAGCTGTGCTCAGTTTTTACAACCTTAGCTCTACTTAAAGTATATTCATTACTTGCATGAGAAAATAAACTCCTTCTTTTATGACTCTAACACTGATTGACATATCTTTCTTTAAAAAAGGGACAAAGGGTGGAAAGAAAAAGGCTTTTCCCCTTCTGTTCAGTATTTCAGATTACGTTATTTAAGAGATCTTGTACATTTCAGCACCGAGTTTCCCTGAAATCTCCACACACTGGTAGATCCTGACAGTAATACTTCAGCGTAACTCTCAGTTAAATTCTTAAGCCAGGGAAGTTTACTGAACAGAGGATCTACATCTGGATAGTTACGGGCTGCTTTTTCCTCTTTCGTTTTCTCAATTAGACTGCAGTCTTTCCTGTAGATTACAAAACATCGCAGACAGGATGACGTCTTAGAATGACATCTTGTTTAACACTTTCCTAGAAGGGGCAGCTATGTTCTATTCTGAAAAAAATCAAAAATGCTTTGGCTGAAATACTATTTCAAAAGTATACTTTGCAGTACATAGCACACAGACTCTGGATGTCAATAAAAACAAAATGCTGTATTTTCAACCCTGTTCTGTTAGCTTGACAGTGATGGTGTAAGCACCTTACAGCATGTAAGAGCATGGCAGAGAATTCATCTGCTTGGTACTAATTTTCCCTGTGAACAAAATAAATGAAGAGGGTACTGTGGAAGCACTGAACATACCAAATACAATCATCACTTTAAAACCATTAAAAATAATCTGTATTTTCTTTGACATTTTATTCTTTAGCAAAGATTTTGGAACAGGAAGCTGAAATGAAGCAGATGATCCCTTGCCTACAAAGACTTATTCTGCAAATGCTTTCAGGCACTCACGTTTACTTATTTAAATGAAATTACATAGCAGTGCACTCCATTATTGTAATTGCCAAATAACACACAGCTCATCTGTACTACAGTTCAGAAATTACAGCCCATTTTATGTTTATATAAAATAACTTTATAGTGCTTCCTTATCAGTTACCCTTAAAGCAGAAAGAGTCAATAGGTAAACAAATAATTGCAATGATAAAAAGCTGCATATTCTTGGGTTTAAGGTCAAATCTAACAGAGCAATCAGTCTAATAATATTCCTTGCCATGATGAAAATGTGAAGTTCTCACTACTTAGTACGAAGTTACCCTTAAAAATCTCACTATTTACTACCTTTAAAGTAGCCTTTACTTATACTACTTGTGACACTCCGCAAGCCTCACCCAAGACAAGGGCACCCAAAGCTGGCAGTAGCAAAGGCAGCTCCGCATGGTAACCCCCCTGTATTTTCAAGGCCAGCGGACGACTACGCAACAGCAGACACTCCAAACCGTGTCTCGCGTTAAGCACAGATGTCATCTGCGAAACCACTAGCGTGAGAAGCAGCACCCCCTTTGCCTACGAGCACCGTAGCAAAGCTGGGGTTTCAAAGTTCTTTCGCTTTACATGACAGCCCTTCACAGACACCCCTTCGTAGTTAGGAAGTCTCCTCACGCAGCAGCAGAAAAGCCTATTACGTGCTTAAAACAGATAAATCACAGAAAAGGCGTGAGGCATTTCCTGCACCAACAGGGCAACGAGGCGGAATCGCCCTTTCCAGAAACTCGGCGCCGGGAAGAAACGGTGTCCGCTTCTCGGCTTCCACAGTCACCCCGCCGGCAGGGCCGGTACCAGCACGACACACAGAGCCCCGCAACCACCCCAGTCCCGCCACACGGCAACGACCGCCTGCTTGCCTTCCCTTCCACCCCCTGCACTCGCGGCAGCCGCCCCGGCAAGCGCACGCGAATCCCCCGGCGGCCGGAGCTCGGTCCACACCCTGGCCGAGGTCATGGCTGAGCGGCTGCCCGGCGCCACACTTTCGGGCGGTAAATCTCTCCTCCGGGGGGGGCACCGAGCTCCCCAGAGCGCTCCCCCCGACCCAGCTCAGGCAGGACGCAGTTGCTCGCTCCCACCCCACACTCGCTCCATGTCGGGCCGCGGCGGCACAGAACGGAGGGAGCGCAGCCAGCAGCAAAGAAACCGAGGTGAGGGCAAGGCGAGGAAGCAGGCAGAGAACGCCGGGGTCAGGGGCTGCCTGAGGCTCACCCGGGGCAAGGCAGGGCTGGCGACGCCTCGTCCTCGTCTGCCGCCAGTGGGTCCCTCGGCGCCGCGCGTCTCTCAGCGCCGCGCCATGTAACCGGCGTGACGCCGCCGGCGCCGCCCGCGCCCTAGCTCCGCGCGGACTTTCCCTCCTCCCTCTCTTCTTCGTCCGCTCCCTCCCTCCACTCCCTCCCGTCTGCCCGGCCTACCGCGAGCCCGTTGGCGAGGGCAGCCGAGCGGCACCGGCCTGGCCCCCGGCCCACCGCACTTCCTGGCTGGAAATTCCCGTTGACGTTCCGGCAGCGCGGGAGGGGCGGGAGCGGGCACCCGATGGGGGGCAGAGAGGGAGAGAGTGGAGGGGCAGCTCCGAGCACCGTCGGACGGCCCCTCACCTCACGGCTGAGGAGAAACCCGCTGCGGGAGAGTGGGGAGAGGCAGCGGCGAAGCGAGCGGGGCAGCGCGGAGCCAAGGAAAGGCCGGGCTGCCACCCAACCCCCGAGATGAAATCCCTCTCTCCCCCAGGGACAGGCCCTCCCGCCTGGAGGGAGCCGCGTGAATATGTGAGCCTTTTCATCCTAAAGGAATTACCACCGCCCCAGGAATAATCCTGTTGTTGTACATGTTGCTTGGCTCACAGCGATGTTTTTGGGGTTCTTCTGTGGAGTCAGGCCCGACCGGGTGGCTGCCGAAGTTTTTTTTGTCGGTTGATACCTAGAAAGTTATGAAGGGAAGAGACTGCATAGAGTTAATTTAAGCCACCTATGTAGTGCCTGACTGTTGGCTATCGTTCACGGGCGCTTCACAAAAGGAGGTTACTGATTGACCTGATGCCTGAGAACAGCACTGAGCAGCCAGCATAGGCTACACAGCACCATTTTTCCTCTGGATTTATACAGCTGCTGGCAGAGCAGACTCCCAGGTTGGTTTAACTTTTTTTAAATAGCGCCAGCCATCAGTAATACACTGGTCTTCTTAGTACTGGAACTGAAGTCTGTAGTATAGAATCAAAATGGTTTGGGTTGGAAGGGACCTTAAAGATCGTCTAATTCCAAGCCCTCTGCCATGGGCAGGGGCACCTTCTACTAGACCAGGTTGCTCTATGTAATTAAGTATAACCTTTAAACTTTCTTCTTAAAATGCCAACATTCCTATGCGTCTGTATAGTAACCAAGTTTCCCAGATACATCTAGCCAAGGCTGAAGGAAGTCAGCTAGTGCCATGTTTAATTGGCAAAAATACTACACAAAGCATTGAAGTTCAAACATCTTTATGCTGAGTCTTAAACGTCTACTTCGTTAAGGGTGAAGAGCACCTCAAATCAGCAGCCAGCGTGGCTCACCTAATGTGTGTTAGCCCAGAAAGTCAGCAGCACACCTGAAAATAACCTGTGGGAGATTTTGTTATGCCATGAAGACCACATGAGGTGGAACTTCAGGAAGTATTTATCTCAGAGTGGAAGGACACTAACAAAAATCATAATTTATAAGGGGGATTAAAAGCCCCCATTTAGGAGTTAAATTATACAACTACTGCTTCTTTTATTGACATAAGGCACTGTAGAGCAAAACTTAATTCAAAAGAAATAGGGTAAAATCATAACCCACCTGTTGACTGGAACAAGAAGGAATGGGTATTTTTATCAGGGAAGTATTACAACCTTATCTTTAACATTGTATTGATAGTCATGTCACAGAGGGAGACTGTGCTGCTGCACACTTCCAGTCTATCCAGATGGTAAACAATTTCATTACTGGAAAGGGAGTAGATTCAGACGTTAACGCTTTATGCCCTGTGTCTGGGTTGGGACAGAGATGCACTCATTTAAAATTAGAGCTGAGACTACAGAAGGATTTTTCTGTCTCTTAATAAAGAGAACTGAAATCTCATACAGATTACACATACATATGTATGAGGAGACAAGTCATTTCCTTTATTTGAATTGCCACTTATGCTCTGTGATGCACTTCTGAAAGTGCATTTCCCATTCTCTTCCCAATCCAAATTGGGGATTGAGATTGACTGACCGAGCATTTCTGAATAAAACATGTTTTCCCTTATTACATTGGAGTGTTTTCTGGACATTCAAGATTCTATGTTAGTCTTTCCTGTGGAACCAAGTGCGCTGAAGTAAGCAGAGCAAAAGCAAGGAGAGAACTGGGCCCCAAAGCCCTTTAAGAAGGAAGTTTAGATGGATTTAGCATACACAAAGTTTCAGAATACAATTCATTTGAAATGAAAGGTGCCATGTCATGGCAAGCCGAAGGTGTGCTCACAGGGCAAAACCTGTATGAACAAGTACCAGGAAATCAGACAAGGTGGAAAAGTTCCAAAGCTTAAGAAGACTTACCTGGTGGATTTATTTTAAAAGGACGCATCAAGTACCCAGTCTCAGCTTTTCCTATGACATCCTTATCAGCTTCTACAAACATCTAGATGTTAAAAGAAAAGCCTCTTCTAAATTATATTTAAAGCATAAACTTCTCTTTCTTATAACTTAACACCATGGCAGAAATGTTATTTCTGCTGAAACTCATGATAATGCCAGGCTGTTTGGTAAAATTATATTTACAGGACACTCTAGATAAATGAACTGCATTAAAGCACAGGCTTCTTACCTGAAGAGCCAAATGAACAATTATTTCTCTAATCCTGTTCCCAATCATTAGAGAAATTAGGCAGATAGTATAGACTCAGGTGTGAATGATTTGCACTGAAAAATTGGGTGCCTCTTTCCTGGGTAACACACATTTGCACTGTTACCTCTAGATACTTCAGTACCTGGACAACATCAGCTCACAAAGAAAGAGTGGGTGATTAAAGCTGGATGTGAAGGAACAAATGCTGATGTTGTTGAGCTAGAGTAGACCATGTGAAATGTTTCCAGCCTCGTTATAGTCTCTGGTAGCTGGAAGGTGCATCAGAGGAAAGGCTTTCTAGTTGTGCACTTACCCAAGTTGTTTCACCTTAGTAGGTTGTGTGTGTTGTAAGTTTTCTAATATGTAAATGCAACCTAAGAGCTGTGTCTGTTATGAGCTAGGTTTACTCTGGGAGGACAGGTGCCTTTCTGAGGGATAGGAATCTTTTTCTAATTAATGCCTTATTTCTTTATCATGCCTGTAAATACTGATTTGCCTCAGTAGCCAGTGATTGTCTTGCACACACTCCAGTCCTCATGTAAGTTATCAATGTTTAGCCAACATTTGCTGTTTGCATTGCCATTATTTCCTGTAACTTGAATCCACCAGGAAAATAACAAAATAATGAGCTTTAAAAAAAACAAAACTGTATTTTTAAGATGATGCCATCATTCTGAGACAAAATGTGTTGAGCTCTAATGAAGTAGACAATAGAAACCGTATAAAAAGATCTCTAAGTATTTAAAGTACATATGCAAATTCAACCTTTGAACTGTAGCTAGAACTGTAGCTTTTGAACTGTAGCTAGAGCAGGGTCTAGAGTTCAATGATGCTGCTGAATCCCCATGTTGCAGCGTCCATGAGAAGTACTTTCTGTCATTTTTTGCTGGTTTCTGGTAAGTGGTGGTCTGGCCTCATTTCATTCTTTATCTCATCAGGGCTTAGATGGACACAGCAATGCCCTACAACTCTCAGAATAGGGTGGCGTCTCCTATGGTTATACAGATCACATCCTAAATGTACCATTCACTTGCTTCCTACAGAACCACAAATCAGGTATGAGACCTCATATTACTACCAAAGTGGTTCAGACCTGTGACTGCGCGAAAACACTAAATTTCTAGCGGATTGGGTAAAAGTGCCAGAGCTAAAGCAGGAGAAGATATCAGTAGTGAATAGATGTTTGGGGGAATAAATTTAGTGGACTTAAGTAAGAGAACCATGAGGTTGTAAACATGGCTGGTGTGTATAATTAATAGAGAAAGGGGAACCTCTGAAGAGAGCTAGAAGTAAACAAGAAAAGGAAGACTAAAGGCAAAAAAAAAACCCAAACAACAAATAAACACCAAAAACCCAAAAGCAAACCAGAAGTTATCATGAAACCTTGAATAGCGTATAACTGAGGGTAAGCACTAATCTGAATAGGAGTGTGGGTGAACCTACATTTCTGTGTGATAGCTGACATTTGTGCCTAGATAGCTGTAAATAACAGGTTAGCTTAGCTCTACATTCCAAGTGGGGAGAAGATCTGAATGGATGGAAGGCAGTTTATTAGATTCCCTTTTCTATTTTTTCTCTTCCAACATCCTATAGTTTTCTTGCATTAATAGCTGATAGTTATGAGTCTCCTTTTATCTCTTTTTCCACGAAGTAAGCCTGCCAATTAATTTAGAAAATAAATCCATGCATAAACACTCACATTAGGTATTACGATAGCAACTTTAGCTCTGACATCATCTGATTTGTTCTCAAATATGACTGCTCAACATTAACTGTTACAGCTATGATATTGTATAGGGTGTCACTAACTTAAAGACATGGACAGAACCAAGCAGAGAAGGCAATTTTTTGTGTATCATTTTTGGAATGGTTAGCCTAGCCTCCGCTCAGTTTGGCTGTGTAATGCCAGGCCTCCTTCTGTCCTTTTTCTTTCATACTGGCAGATAGCAAGGAGCATTTCACAACAAACCTCTCAGTTGCACCGAAAATTTTGGTTTATATATTGCGTGAACTTACTGCGAGGGAGCTGCTTTCAAGGAAGAGAAGTTGTTCCCTGCATAGTTTGCCTGAGCCTCGAAGCGGCTTCATGCAGAAGATAGGGACTGCTCTATCTAAGCTGGTCATATTTACAGAATCTATAAGACCATTAGTGGTGTGTAATGCTACAATGTGAAGGACATGTACCGTAGAGCCATAAGCAAACTGCTACATTAAGTAGTCACAGATAAGAGTTCTGCTTTCTGGTAGTAAAACTAATAATCTACCAGTCAGTTCTTTGAAATCTGGACCTAGTACAGACTATGAGTCATTCATTCTTCTAATGTTCAACTACCTAACACCTTGACCAGCCACTGGAGGCAGAGGTGTGGGGTTTTGCTATTTGAGTTCAGTGACAGCAGGTACTTGCTTAATACTGTACTATGGTCAGTGTTTCATATATGAATGGATTGGTTTCTCTTCATGGTCTTTTGCATATCTGAATGATATGTATTTACAACTTTTATCTGATTATAACCACCAGAATCCAGTTCAGGGTCCCATTTTTTTCCCAAGAGACGCACATTCTTCCCATTACATGGCTGCCATTTTAGCACCCTGACCATGTTTCACCCAGTTAGCTCAAGCAAATGAGCAGCTCTTTCATTCTTGTTGTCCTTGTCACTTTGTTTTGTTCATAGTCACTTTCATTAAGTATATGCTCAGCTCAATTTATGAGGTCATTTTGTGTTAGGTGTACTGAGTAGGACCAATATTAACAGTTTATAGAAAGCAAAATATAGCTAACTTGGTTTTATATATCTGCTGGTTTATGCCACAGCAGCTCCTTAAGGACCCAGTTGAGGAAAGTGATTCCAGACAGCTAAGAAATGTACAAATATATGGGAAAGAGATTTCCTCTGCCACGGAACTTTCAACATCTAAATATATAATGAGAAATGGATTATGAAAGCATGAAGTGGCATGCTCATTGCTGTTTGAACTCACACAGTGATTCATTTAAGTCTTCTGCTCAACTGCTGGTAGAAGTAAGTTCTGATTTCCTGAGCTTGTTTCTGTTGCAAGTTCTAAGCCTTTACCATCATTTATGATATTCTTAAAATTCCTGGAATCTCTGGATAGGTGGCTATTTTCTCACAGGTTTTGATGAAAACTTAAAACTCATGTTTAAAAAACCCAGAAGTATCAATGTTCAAAAAGTAACTTTTAAATTGATGCAATTATTTTACGCGTATCCTGTGGATTTAGGGGACTCTATTTATGAGCTTGTAATGATGGGGGTTAACAACAGTGAGTGGTGACCTAAGACATATCACTAGCATAGTGGATCATGCTGTGTAAAAATACAAGATTATAAAAAAATATTTGGAGGGCACTACAAGAGGCAAATTGTCTGTATGGATTTGGTTTCATGAAAGCTTGTGTTCTCAACCTTTGCTGCAGAGCTGTGAGGGCTAGAAACTTCCAGGAAAGTATTCTGTACTTAAAGCTGTAACATCAGAAACAGTACAGGTGCTGTCTAAGATTGTGATAAGATGCAACAGGCTGTTGAAAAGCAAGAGAGGATGTCATGACAAGGAAAAGAGACCTGTGACAGAGCAGGGTTTTGGAAAAAGAGAGGGACCTCAGTCTGTTTGCTGCTCTACACGAGAAAAGCAATGAGTGATAGTAGTGGAGGAAGCAGGATGTTCTTATCCTAGTTTCTTTCTCAGTTCCCCTCTTGATTTACTGATTGGAAGCTGAGGCTGGGTGGTAACAGGGCAGTCATGTTCTTTCTCTGCCCCATGTAAGAGCACAGTGCAGACGTTTTTCAGCTATAAATATCCCAGCACTGAAGCCAGAACTAATATGACTATGCAGTTCTGTTACTATTCCCAAGCATGTTGTCTTGGATGCTGTCATGCTTACAAGGCCTGCCTTGCTCTTAAGGCTAAGGATCCCCATATAGTGCTGTAACTCATTAGGTACATGTACAGGCTTGGGGTCTCTGCACTGCTGAGACCTGACCTGAAAGTGCACGTGACTTTTGACACCTGAGGGTAGGGAAATGGAATTGCAACATCTTCAAATGCTGCTGTTTACCTAGACGTCCAAATAAGAATATGCGACTCCTGTTTAAGCCCTTGGGTGTATTTACAACAGCTCTTCCCAGCTTTAAGCATTGTGCTGCCAAAATTGGCTGCACCCAAAGACACTCCCTTAGCATAGTGAGAACACAGTGCTGCTTGTATTCAGATCAGCAGCAAACTCTTGTTGACCTAGCTGGGTGTAGGGCTGGTGGCTGAGGGAGGATCCCTGCCTTCTCTACAGACTTGGAAAGTGTTCTGACAGCATGTTTGTGTGGTTGCAGATAGTAAGCTGAACAGCATCTGCAAAAACAAGTGTTTTCTTGAAGCAAGCTTTAGCTTTGCAAGCTATATACTGGTCTCATAGAAGGTAAGGAGGGTGTCATGGTGACTTTATGAATGCTTCTGGGTAGATCCAGCTGAGTCTGTTGTAGTTCTGACAGTGATCTAGACAGGTTAGTATGGTGTTCACGTGACAAAAATGCTATTCTTATTCTAAGGATACAGAACAAAAGCCTAAAAAAGTTAAGATCGAAAATGCCAATGTTAGGATGAATCTGAAACACTGAGAATCTTATTTTCCCTACAGTTCTTATCATTAGGTAGATGGATATACCCACACTTACCACTCAGGATAAGTGTGTCCCAAGCTTGAACAACGCATAGGGCCCTGGAGCCCACTGTGGCTTGCTCCATCACTTGAGAATACTTGGAGGAGATGGTTGTGCCATTAGAAGAAACTCATCTGTCATTGGATGGTACTACAGGACCTGCCTGACTAGAAAAGTTGGACACACTGGTATAGTACTTGCTGTTCTCAAAACATTTGCCGGTGTTGACTTCAATTGCACATGTGAGTGTTATTAGTATTTCTGCAATCAGACTTGGTGTCCAAGTCCTAGAAGACTGGCAACACTTACTACCTGTGAAAATTTTAGGTTAAGTGATGTGACTAGCATCACACAGGAATTCTGGCACAGAAGAGGGGACATTGCAGCTCACTAGATTAAGGATATGATACTGTCTTTTCAACCAGTTACCTGTTTGTTATAATCCTCCAGCTTTTGTCAGGAAATTCATGGAGGACCTATGGAGAGGAGTCTCTTTAACATGCTGTTCTTCTCTAGAGAGCAGCCCCAACCTAACAAGTCAGCTTGATACAGATGCCTTGGAGTGGGAACTTTCATACAAAGCAAAGAAATTTTGCTAAAGTTATGAACTGAAAATAATCTCCTCTTAGAAAGAGGTTCTCATCAATAGATTAATAGGTGAGTAATATAGTCAGCCCCATTCATAATATAAAGACAAATATGTGGTTAGAGCAAAAGTCACAGAATCTGGCTTCTCTGTTGACTTCCAGTACAACTTTCAGAGAAGAAAAACTGTGACCATTTATGTTAAAGGGTGAATAAAGAGTGGTAAGAGCTAAAATAAAGGTAATAGCCAGTGACCAATTCTTGTTTAGTATTGCATGTAGCCCTTAAATTATTTTCCACTTTGCAAACAAACAAGGAGCATGTCAAGCAAACAGGTTTCCACATCCTGGGTTTGCTGACTTGGATAGCAAAACACTTTTGTTTTGGTCCTTCACCGACATGCAGTAGTGGAATTTTTCTGGTTTCATTAAACACCTGTGGTGTGACACATTAAAACTGGGTAACTACTAAAAGTCAGTCTCCTGATGTGCCAATAGTTTCTCTAAGCTGTGCCTTTAGTAGAGCAGCTTTAAAACCTTGAAAGAGTCTTACATAAACTTGAAACTGAAAGAGAGCAGGCCAGATTTAATCAAAGTATGTATGACTCATTTTCCACTCTTTATCAATATTTTTTGTGACAACGTCACATCAGCAGCATCTGTAGCTGAAAAATACTGTCTTGCAGAAAAATACTGACTTTCTGAAAATGGAGTTAGTGATTCCCACTCTAGCAGATGATCTGCATACGAACAGCACAAGTTGAAACAGAAATGCTAAGCAGGAAAACCTGAAAATGGGACTACTGAGCTATAAAACTCTTGGCACCTTTTATCACAATGACCTACATAAAAAGTCCACCCCCACTAACTTTCATCCAATATGACTTGAAACTGTCAGGCACCATTGCATCTCAGGCATTTATTAGGTCTTTGATGTTACTGAAATTGAAGAATTCTCCTCATCCTCACCATTGTTTAGAAGAAAAAATATTTCTGAAGTCATTGATGGATTTTCCCCAATGTGTAGTATATGCATGACTACTTTCTTCTCATAAAATACTGTAAAGTCATCAAATAATCAAGTAGCACCACAAATGAGGATGCTGTCGTCTCAAACTGACAGGAGCCTCATGGTTTTCTGAGAATTCCAGCAGCGTTTCTCAGACTGTGATTCATGTCTTTAACAGAACAGGTCAGAGATCTCAGTAGAGAAGCCTGATCGCATGCAGCACATGCCCAAACATGTTACAGTTCTTTACCGAGGGGCCAAGACCAACCACAAGTGTTTCTGTTTTGTCACCTCATTCCTTAACAGAAAAAAAAGGCTATTGAGATTTATTATGTTTGTTATTAAGTTCTCTTAATAGCTATGCAAAGTACCTCTTTTCCATGCATGTATCAAAGCCATATCATCATGAAAAAAGTCATTCTAGCGCCTTTTAATTCATGTATGTGCTGCTGTGCCAAGACTTCTATAAGGGCCTGAGCTAGACACTTTTTAGAAAATATGCAATCGACTGAGTACTTTGCCAAATTCTCACAGTCCATTTCTACAAAGGAAGGCTTCCACTGATTTCAAATTCTAAATCTTTTCCACTTTGGCTTGCATGAAAACACTTGAAAGGTGTGTTAAAGGACAGACACACCAGAAATAAAATCCGAGTGGTGTATACAGTGAAGTCACATCTCATTAATGGAGACCACCCAAAACTTATTCCTGCCCTGAAATCTACAGAAGAAAGACATACTCTGTTTTTAACATCTAGCTTAAAAAACACTCGGCTATTTGTACAATCTCCGAAATTCCCAGCTTTGGTAATATTCACATGTAGGATGTTTGTTAGGCAAGTACTTCTGAGCTGTGAACAGCAGCTCTGGAATCTCCAGACTTGCTGGAATAGATTAAAAAAAAAAACTGGGCAGCATGTCAGACTTCCTACATCAATCTAAACTTGTTTAATGAAGACTGGAGATAAAAAAATACAGAGGAAATTCTGAGTAAATGGAGTTGCTATTTATCAGTGTCTGTCTTGGCTGCACAAGAAGGGAGAGAATCTTGACACAGAGCAAACAAGAAAAAAGCCCCAGTGGATTTCCATCTAATCCACTGCATTAAACACAAGCCCACACAGACAACTGGGTACATTGCTCTGCTTGCCACTGTGTAAAGGCTTCCCACAGCAGAATTAAAGGCCAAAGAAATGTAGTACGAACAGAAGGCCATAGAGCTAAGGAAATTACTCTTAAAATAACAGCTTTCTAAAAATTAAAGAGACTACCATGGAGAAGAGACAGCATGCTTGGGGATACCAGTAAAGGCAGATTGGCACTCGAGTTGCCTGATGGAGATCTCATCACCTGACAGGAGGCTACATCAGTCATATGACAGGGAGCCTGAAGAGCCTGTTTGGGTTTTTTTTGTTATTGTGTTTGGGTTTTTTTGTTTTTCCTCAAGACCTGTAAATGCATTTTTTTTTCCGAGGAGAGGTGTGGTGTAATGAGAAATCTTTTGCAAAGCCTTTCTGTTTCTGAAGAACTCTGTGATTCTGTGTAAAGGAATGTATTTAAGCTTCTGAGGGATTTAGGGCTAGGCTATGTGGAGAGGATGCTAAATTGTGAGCCTGTCTCCTAGAAAAGATCATCTCTACCCTGTGAGTGGTTTGGGTTTATTTTTTTTTTGGTCTGTGTCTCAACAGGATTCACCAGAAGTGAAGAACTGACAAGAAACATAGGAAGCTTGTGACAGGGAAAAGCCTCAGCCTAGAAA